CGGCAGAAGGGGGAAGGAGGGCACGAGGGCACGAGGGCATCCTCTCAGACGACATGTCTGGGCATCGTCACAACTATGAAAAAAAAAGGACGAAAAACAAACGTGTCGTGTGTCTGACTGCCTCTTCGGTGCATGTTCCTCCTTTCTATCTTTTCTTGGCATCTTGGCTTCGTCTATGTGCTATCCACAGTTCGGCCGTGCATTAACGACATCCAGTTGAGCTGGACTCGCTGGAGACGGAGCCCTCTGGAGTCAAAAGAATCCGTGAGGGATCCATCGCCGGAAGTCAGGGCGGTCGGGCGGGCGGTCGGTCGGTCGGTCGGTCGGCCAACGTCGGTGTCGCGTGTCGTCTGTCGTGTGCTCTGTGTGCATATCACCAAACTCCCGTCTGCCTGGTGGCGGGCCCCGATACCACTTGGCCGTCGTGTTGCCCAATGACCCGCACGGGCGGATGCCGATGCGGCTTGAAAGAGCTGCGACGTCCTTGATTGGCTGCCAAGGCGGTCTGTTTTTGAGGCGGCAAAGCTTGACAGAGCTTGACCTCACTGCCCTACCAGACCTATACCAAGACGTCCTGTTCCCCGGTCTACCCGCGTTCTGTTTCAACCAGAATTACTGAATTCTTCCAAGTCTTCCCCGTTGGAAACAAGGAAGCCTCAGCACAGGCATCAAGTTTCATATGTCTTAGAACACCACCACTTCAGGCCGTGCCCTCGCTGCGTCACTGTTACCGGAAATGCGTTGCGCAATAATGAATGATATCAGCGTTAGACTGTAACACGTGGGCGCACCGAGCGAGCAGTGTCCGTCGTTGCCTGTTCCTGTGCGTTGTTGATCCATCTCCTCCGAACTCTTTTACTTTCTAGCGGGAGCCTTCGACATTGCGATCCTCTCATCCGTCAAGGGTTCCGTCACAAGGAAACCCAACTATGACGGTCCCGAATGTCAGATGAACAAGACTGACCGTTTCACAAAATCTACACCTCCAGACATGCAGCTTTTTTTTTTTTTTTTTTTTTTTTTAGGAAGCTCGTAGTCAAGACCCTGAATATCCATTGGTTTCTTGGGGGACCGGCATCCTTTGCTATGATGCCATCAAATCCAATGCATACACTAGATGCAGGGGGGCAAGTAAAGCGAAAAAAAAATTATCAAGAAAAAAAAAAAAAGGCCGGAAGCGCACGGGGAAACCATTGTCAGCGGTCAGGGTCTGCAACTCCAGTCTCCAATGAGTTCGACTGCTCCATGGAGCCCCGTTCCCCCACAGATTTTGGTGCCGTTGGAATTGGAAATTGAGAGGAAAAATTCCCAACATCTGCCAATGACAGTGCTCGATTCGACCACGACCTGATCTGGTCCGTACAGGGCCATGCCTTCGGGTGTTCGGCGTGGAGGCGCTTGTAACTGCCCCCCTGTCCATTGATCCGTCGAGGTAGCTGTACCCCTCTTGCATGCTGAATAATGGTGCAGAAACAGGTACCGCTACCCCTCCACTCTTCTTCAGCCACCTTATCCCAAACTAGAAAGAGACGGCTGGTATCCCAGCACCATCCCCAAGCTCTTCCATCCTATCCTGCCATAAGAACTCGCGACAGGTACCGGCGTTGTGGCCATCGAGTCTCATAACCATACTTTTTTCTCCAGCGGTCTTGTCCTTCTCTTCCTTCATCATCATCATCTGATCTGATCTCCAGAATCAACACGCCTGCTGTGCTGTTGGTCTAGGGATCTTGAGCAAGAGGACAACCCTCCCCCGTATCTCCTTGATGCCATCCAAGGACCTACCTACCTACCAAAGGGGAGCCAACCTTACACCTACTCGTTGATATCTTTTTTTATCCATCTCGCTATCCTATAAATCTCTTTTTCTTCTTTATATACCCCGCCCATATACAAAACAACTACTTCAAGTCTTCAACATGGATGACGACGTAATGCGTCCCGACATTCACCACGACCCTACGCCGGGTCTGATCCCCGTGCCTCACGGCCCGGCCACCGGCGACGAGGCTCTTCAGCTTCCCTTCGGCGTCACGCCTGATCCCGACCACGAGAAGGCCATCTTCGGCTACCTCACACAACCTGACGACATCTACACAAAAGACGGCACCTACTGGGCCGACCTGCCCTTGCGCGAGAGGATAGCCTTCGTCAACAAGGTCCAGAATGAGGAGGCGAAGCAGGAGCTCAAGGCCATCGGTCGCATGATGAAGAAGGACCCTCTCAGCCCCGTCTCGTGGTACTTCCGCAACGCCGTCCTTCCCGGTGCCGGTCTTGGTCTCGAGGGCTACGTCCTTTTCAGTATCGGCAACATCGAGCCTCTCTTCAAAGCCACCTGGCCGCAATGCTGGGGCCACAATGCTACCGAGTGCAGCAGCAACTGGATCGCTGCCGTAACATATCTCGAGGTTATCGGTATCATGGTTGGCCAGCTGGTCGTTGGTGTTATTGGTGATTGGATTGGTCGCCGCTGGGGTCTCATTCAGGATGCCGCTATCATGTTTGTCGGTTTGCTCATGCTCACGGCTTCTTGGGGTTTGACCCTCCAGGGCTGGGTTATCTGCTATGCTTGGTCTCTCTTCTTCTACGGCAAGTTCTCTCTCAGAGGCACAAAGTCGCATTACGTGCAAAGCTAACACATTTTGTCTGCAGGTTTCGGTGTCGGTGGAGAATATCCCATTACTGCTACCTCCTCCATGGAGAACTCTGTCGCGTCCGGAAAGCTTTCCACCAGAAACGACCGTCTTCACCGTGGCCGCAAGGTTACTACCGCCTTCTTGATGCAGGGTTGGGGTCAGCTTATCAACCAGGCCCTCCTCATTATCCTCCTCCTCATCTTCCATGCCGGTAGCGGATCCCCGCCCTATGGCCTCGCCACTGTCCAGTGGACATTCAGATTGTCGTTCGCCATTCCCGCCGTCGGTACCCTCTGGCTCGTCTACTACAGAACCTACAAGATGCCCCACGCCAGCCGACAGCTTATTGCCGCCAAGAAGAAGACCAACGTTACCGGCTACGATTTTGATTCCCTTGCCATGACCACCAGGCACTTTGGAGGCCGTCTCCTCGCCACGGCTGGTTGCTGGTTCTGCAACGATGTCTTCTTCTACGGAAACAAACTCTTCCAGGCTCAATTCATCGCCGTCATCAGCGGCGGCTCGAGCTCTGTCTTGACCGGCTGGATTTGGAACTTGTACAACGTCATCATCTCTCTTGTCGGTTACTACTTGGCCTCGCTCCTCATGGACAACCGCTTCTATGGCCGCAAGATGATGCAGCAAGTCGGTTTCCTCATGTGCTTCATCATGTTCGTTGTTCCCGCCTTCAAGTTGGAATACTACACCAGCCCCGCCGGTATCAAGTCCTTCCAGGCCATGTACTTCCTCTCCAGCTTCTTCAACCAGTTCGGCCCCAACAGCGTCACCTTCCTCGTTGCCGGCGAGGTCTTCCCTACCCCCATCCGCGCCTCCGCCCACGGCTTCAGCGCCTGCTGCGGCAAGGCTGGTGCGCTTCTCGCCTCCGTTCTCTACAACTACATCGATACCCAGACCAAGTTCTACGTCGTTCCCTGGTTCGGTCTCGCCGGCATGATCCTCACCTGGCTGTTCCTCCCCGATACCACCGGTCTTGACCTCAAGGAGCAAGAGCGCCGGTGGAGCTACATCCGCGCCGGCAAGCCCGAAGACTACCACGGCATCGCCATCCACCCCATGCACCTTTCCCTCTGGGAGCGCCTCCGCGGCGTTGGCAAGCACTACAACCCTGAGCTCGACCACAAGCAGAAGATCGAGGATATGCGTGAGGAGTGGGCCGGCAAGGAGCGCATGCGCCGCGAGAAGGAGGTCAACGGCCAGAACTCCATGGGCGACGATCTCGAGGTGGATGACTTCAACGATCAAGTCCACCACTACTTCCGCAACACCACCGACCAGGGCATGTTCGTCAACGACGGCTCTGCCGGTCCCAGCACCCACTCGAGGTCGAGGAACAACAGTGAGCCCCCCTTCGCTTCGGGAGCGAACTCGAAGGAGGTCACGCAGGAGAAGATCCGCCCCGACAGCCCTTCGACTACACAGACCCCATCATCGACGCGGCCTGTAAGTGAGAAGGAGCAATAAGTAAGAGTTTGGGTTGTGGTGGGTTTGGCTGTTTTATACTTTGCATCGGATGTGTACACAAAAAATCGAAATGTTAATGATGGGAAAATGAGAACTGCGCAATGATTCGGAACAAAAGAGAAGAAGAGGGGGAGGCAAATGAAAACACAGAGCTGGGCCGGACATGGATATGAAGAAGTCCTGGGGATAGTGACACGATGGGATGGATGAAGTTTTTCCTCCTGTTCTTTTTGGGCGGCCAAGGCGGGCGAGCCTGACTTTTAGCATTCTACTGGCGTATTTTTAATGTATCATGATACCCTCCAATGCGGAAATGATGTTGGATAACCCTCTGGTTCCTATTCCCTCGTAATCTCCATGCACGTGAAGGGGATTGGTTTGGGGAAGGTCGGGACAATACAGCAGAGTTGCTAGATGAACAGCTCGTTCAATTCGGGCTGAATACTTTGGTAGATTTGACAAAAAATTGACCAGATTGATTGATCAATGATGGAAAACGCCTGTCAAAGAGGGCTTCGCTCGATATTGAACGGTTCATCGTTTTTGATTCTAAAGACGGCTCTGATACCCAAAAGTATTCTCAGGTATGAAGTATTCTCAGGTATGCATGCCTCTTTCGGCGCGCGCATTTGATCACCCTGGTTACAGTGTCAACCTTCAACTTTCTACAACCCATATTCAAGATTGAGGATCGTGTTATCAAGATATCTAAAACTCACTTGACAGGTATGTCCAAAAATCGCCGAGCCAAAACTCCCTGTCATGACAATGACATGGTATCCAAAACATCCAAAACATCGCCAAGACGCCCCCACCTCTAACACTTCACTGCCAATCTTCCCCGCCCGGCTTGTCTTGCATCCGATACCATCTCCCTACCTCTCATACCACTTCCCTCGTTACTTTCATAACCCTTTAAGACTCTTTCTCATCCAGCTCTACCATTACCCATTCCTCTCCAATCCATACATGGCACAGACAACATCCCAATCCCAAACCGCACTCGGCTCTACATCCTTCAGATCCCGAATCCAATCCACATACAGCTCCACTGTCTTCTTGGCCTCCAGCTCGAACCTCTCTCCTCCACACAGAGTATCCTTGATCTTGGTCAGAATCGGCACCTTGTCGCTCAGAACCAAATGCAGAAGAACCAAGATCCCAAAGAAATTCTGCGTGAAGAAGAAGGGGCAGGGCACGAACCGCTTTTGCAGAGACGAGGGGGACATGGCAATGGGCCACTTGAGCGAGGCCTTGAGACACTCGGCGGCGCCGATGGCGTCTTCTTGCATCATGGCGTCCGGGTGGTGCAGGGCTTTATAGAGGAAAGGGCGGTGGATGAGGTATCTGGCGTAGTAGTAGCGGGAGCGGAGCAGGGCTACCTGCACGTCGTGGGCATACGGATAGCGGATAGGAGGGGCGTCGAGGTCGGCCGTGAACATTTGTGGTTGAGGCACTGGTTGATGTTGGGGACCAAGGCCGGAGTTGAGAATCGGCTGTTGGTGGGACATCGGGGGGGAGCGAAGGCCGGAAGCTGTGACATTGGCTAAGGCTTGTGGCATGACGCCGCTTCCGGCCATGGAGACCCTGCTGCTAACGCCCGGGCTGACGGAGCTCATGAACGTGGTGCCTGCTTGGGGAGTTGGAAGCATGGGAGAGACAGCCGGGGTGCTGTTCGTGGTCGTAGTCGCCGTTGCTGTCGTGACGGGGCTGTAGATGCTTGGGCCATCGTAGGCGGTTGCGCTCGACGGAAAGGCGCCGGGTGTGTCTTCTTGCCACTGTAGGTTAGAGGGAAGGTAGCTACGCCAGCGCTCGAGATCCGTTGCCATATGGCGGATCTTATTTGGGGTGCTGCTAGTGCTGGGAGCAGTGGTGTTGTATGGTGCTGCAGAGGATGCGCGTTAACGAGTGTTGGGCAAGAGTATCGAGTGGTCAAGGAGAAGAAGGGTACTTACATCGACTGAGCGTCCCGTGAAATTCCACAAGCAGCCTCCTAAGAGCTATCTGAGACGCAAAGTGCTCTTGGTATTGTGTCTCTTGGTTGCTGACATAATCGTAGTCTGTGAAGCTGGTACTGAAGTCGGGGAGGCTGACTACGTTTTCCATCTTCTCGAGGCCTGTAAGTGGGAACCCTAGCTCAAGGTTGAGACAACTGGCAAAAACCGATTAGCTTGAGTTGACATTATCAGGGCATATCTGGTACACACGTTTCCATGACGGCACAATGCCAAAATGCTCTTCTGAGCAAGTCTGCTTGCGGAGAAGAGAGCACCCCTGGGTTACTGCCATGCTTTAGTTTGAATACTGGACAAATTAGGAGGGATATTGTTGACTTACATCATGATCAAGGATTGGCAGGCCAAAGACGCTTCTCTAATCATTTTCCAAAATCCCTGCGGTTGTTAGTACATGATCACCAAAGCGACAGGTAATATCTGCACGAAACAAGGTAGCAGGTATATAGGGGTAACATACCATGGGATATGAGCAGGTTGCGCAATAGGTACTGTGTGTGTTCTTGTGATTAGTAAGAGGGGCCACAGGTTCTCAGAACAACGTGCTTACCTAGCCAACGTGTATGCCTGTACCATCTCGAGGCTCGTCTCGGCAACACTAAAGCCCAAACGTTTCCTCGCTTCGTTAAACAACATAATGCCAGGTGGGTGACTTTTGGAACCTCCCCTCATACCGCTCAGCCTCCCTCCGTGTGCATTGATGGGTGCGCCCCTATAGTTACCTAGAGCAACCTCGCCTAGAGCAAAGACGAGAAACGCAATGGTGGACTGTAGTCTGTGATCGACTCCGTTCTTGAACAAAGTCGGAAGTGTTTGAGTCAAAAAGATATGGCGGTCCAAGATAGGATGCAGGAGGCTAATGGTGTCAAAGTAAGCCTTGCTCAACGTTTGCATAATGTCCCAATCCAATCCAAAGGCTGATATTGGGGCCGAGACAGGCCCAAGATTATAGTCTTCGCCAGTTTGCACGCTTATGGGTATAGTGTGGTCCATTGGGAGATGAGCACCAAGTGCCATGGCCGGACCGTCAGTCGCAACCGACTTGAGGTTACGGGTAGGGCATTTGGGCTGAATGGTCGCCAGGTGGCCTTGTATTGCCGGCCACGCCAGCATCTGATGCACAGCAGACACATACTGATAGTGATCCTCGGTGAGCGAAGCAATATTGGGGAGCGCATGAGGCCCCCCATTAGACAGTCCTTCTGACGAGTGGTAGTGTTCTACGGCAGGACGTACTCCATGGATGCCAACGGAATGCCCAGTGGAAGTGGTGAGAGGGGGAGGAGGGGCGAGGTGAGTTGCCGTCGTCGTGGAGTTTGTGTTGGGATGACATGTGGCCACTAAATGGTCCATGCGCCAACTCAAGTGGTCAATCTTGTTCTCGAGGACATTGAGAACATCTAGGACCTTGAGCCTATCCAGGATTTCTACCAGCGTCTTGTCCTTCCTAGAGTCCGTATTAGATGGAGTCATCTCAGGGGGCGTAAGGCGTGGACTTACTTTGTAGGCTGTGGTTCCCTGTAGTGACACTCGACATTGAATCTCTGGCAAGTGCCGCACTTTGGTCTTTGCTCGTCACATCTCTGCTTGCGAGCCCTGCAGGTATCGCAGGCCTGAGCGGCGATGGCACCGCGCTCTTTCCTCAGACTTGTGCCTGGCAAAGACGGTGGGAGAACTGTGCCATTTGAGGAGGCTGGCGAGCTTGTCTGAACGGGGTAAGCCGCAAAGTCGCTCATTTTAGGGACTACCTGTAATCGCTGCACCCGAGCAAGGAACCGGGTGGTCGTGCCCGTCCTGTCCCGAGTCCGAGTCGTGCCGACGTTTCTGATCAGGTGACGGTTGAACTACTGGTTCTAGTTTGCAAGACACCAGAAGCGAGCAAAAGGGGGTGGTTAGGAAGACCGCCACGAACCCCAGGAAGACACACAGCCCTAAACTGTCTCTGAGTGGTATTCTCTCGGCTATAGCCCTTTGCCGTGGCCCTTTGACAGCCTATAGGGTGGGTGTGTGGAATTTGAGGGGGTTACGAGGCTGTCTAGATCTGTTGGTAAGAACACAGTTGCGGAATCGGCCCGGGTTTTCCTGTTTGGGAGCTGTAGCTAGACGGAACAAGGGATTTGTGAGTAAATCGGCGATGAAGTGCAGCGAAGATGGGGCGGGAAAACGGAGCTGTAAGGTAGTAAAGTGTAGTTAAAGTGCTAATGTACCTAAACCTGACATTGCTATGGTGCACAAACTGGGACACGACGGGAATGATTCTTGTGGGGAGTTCATTGGAAAGGCCAGAAGTGCTACTGGTTCCATGGCTGTGACGAGACCCTGTGTCGTCGGGCATGATGGGGGGAGAGGAGGCGCCCGGGCACTGGCCAGGAACACGCATTGTGGAAATGGGCATCATCGCGACAAGAAGATCCCGGACCTTTTGGGTTGCAATGAAAGGAACCCGGGGGGAAGGGGCGACCGTTCCAAGTGCAAGTAGTAGAATCGAGGGAAGCGCCAGATTGTCGGTCGACTCTGGCCAGGGAAGGGATAAGTGACTGCAATATCGTCAACGAGAACTTGTAAAGGTTAGGTATGGTGGCAGTCGACGTCATTGTACAGAGGAAAAGGGTCCGTACCTACTAATTGGCGGAAGCACAGATCATCTCCGCCAACCAGCCCTCGGTCATCCCAGTCCTCATTCCTGAAAGAGCGCTCCAGTTGCATCATGCCTTGGCAGCAATCAAATGACCCCCAAATGTCCTCCCTCCTTGCCTCGCTATCACTCTGTGATTTGTGCTTCATCTGATCCATTACTAGCAGTTCCCGACGCGGGGCTGCGTCCCTCGCGGATGGATACTCACTGTTCCGCCGTATCAATCGCCGTTCACTTCTTGCCAGATTTGGCTATCATCTCCAGTGTCGCAGGGCTCGATTGAAGAGCCTCAAAATCCAGGCACGCTGACACTTAACTCAAACCGACTAATCAATACTGTCTTGCTCTTGTAGCGCAGGTCACAAACCCAGAAGGAAAGAGACGGGAATCATCAAGGGAAAGCATGAAGTTTGTCACCTAGAGGTAGGTGGGCATCAGGCTCCAGATTGGAGAAAACCATTTCATAAAAGGAAGGAAGGAATGACGTTGAGGGCTCCAGCCTGCTTACATTAGCAAACTATAGGCGCTAGCCAAGATAGGCAAGGTGCAATCAGACAATTACCCCACATTTGGTAGTGAACAAGCGGGTAGAGAAGCCACAAACACCCCTAACCCACATGTGAATCTCCTTGGCTGCAACCCCTTGCTTGAACCACATCCTCTTCCAAGAAAGTCGGGAGTGCCTGCCGAAGTCCATTCTTCTACGTTATACAATGAAGCTACTATCGTCAGTACGCTGGTATACGCTATCAACGGGAGTTATTAGGTGCCCGCCCACTGGCCAAGTTGCCCGAGTCCGGATATGGAACCTGGTTGTTGTTCCGGAGTTCAATGCTTCAGAGACATCATCGTAAATCCTGAGCAAGAAACAGATGTGGTTTAACCAAACAAAACATGTATTCTCATATATGCACACAATCCTGCACTTCCAAACTATCATCCAGAGAAGCAACCAAGGTGATATAAAAGATCACCCCATTGACGTATTAGACACTCCGCCCCCTTCAAGACTCTGTCAGCGCGGAATCTTACGAAATATGTAGTAGTGGGAGTGGGAGTTCATCAGTTCAGATCGATATTCACATAATGTTCTTTGACTCTCACATCTCATATTTAAGTATGTTGCTGTGAATCAAAACAATTTCCACTTGGTAATATATATACTAGATGTCTGTGGAGGTATGATCTTAGGTTGGCCCTGTATTACAGTGAGGAGAACCCAGCTTTTGTGCTGTGGCTTTGAGGTCTACTACAATCGTACAACTACACTCTTTGTGTTCGGCTAGATTTCGATGAAAATCTACCAGTCGCTAACTCACATCACATACTCTGATCCTTCACATCTAACCTATTCGCAGCCCAGATTCCTTACTGAAATGCTGGCAGCATTTCTTGACCCTTTGAAGGCCCTAATGTTTAGGGCTGTAAAAAGCACATACACATGGAACACCACGACTTCTTACAGCCTAGCACCAATGAACACGAAACAGTAAAGAGCTTTCAGAAAGAAACCTTAGCTTGCGTCATTACCGTGCATTACTGTATAGAGAGTACAGGTGCGGGTCATGTCGGTACGGCAATGCAAAGTCTCCTCAACAGCCTCTACACAGTACAGCGGCTCCGAACACAACCTTATGGCCGAGCGGTAACCCCGCCTTTGTCAAATGTCTCTCGTCGGTTGGAGTATCTGCTTTGTTCGTTCTATGAACCGGTGGTAGGTAGGATAATCATCAATTTCCACCAAGCCGCCTGGCCACTCTTTTCGCAACTTTCATCTCGCAACTTTCATCAAGACCTCCGTAGGACCAAACCCGATTAGGCGGCAGATTTTGCACTGATTGGTCGATTGTTCCCTTGGTTTGCATGCCCGGTCCAGTCCGTGAGTGTTTCCTCTTATCTTATCGATTGCCTTTCCAACCTAATCCAAGAAACCTACCTACCTAGGTACGTACCTGTCGTTTTGGCAGAGAGACGAAAGAGGGAAAGAGCACAAACGAACCTCTCTTTGTCTTTCACATTTCGTCGTCCACGCTTTCTCTTCTTCACTTTGAAATCACGGCACATCCTTCATTATGTGACATTCAATTGTGGCCGTCCCTTAGTACTTCCGGTTCATTACCAAGATCATTCTCTCCCTAGACGGGGCCGGCGATGTTTAGATTGATCGACATACAAAAAGCGCGCCTCGGTCTGATACACACGTTTTTTTCTCTTCGAGTCATTATCAAGTCTAGAAGCTGCGAGCTTTGAAGCATTGAGCCAAGCCATAATCGTATCAAGTTCGGAGGATGGTTGACTTCTGCTGAGTCTCCGTTCATCATCACTCGGTTGGTCATTCAGTGTGTTGAGCTTCCCCTTTTTAATCAACCGTGTCGGATATCACTACACCACTTGCTCTTTGGTCGTTTGCTCAGTGTCTTCAGTCAAACACATATAGTGTCCTGTAATCCCTTTGTCATGGGAAACCATGTGCCAAAACCACCTTCATGGAGCATCAACATTGTGGAAGTCATGTTTGATCGTCACATCCGTCCTATCAATACTCATACAAAATCCCCATGGAATCTCTTTTGATTCGATACTAGACTACACGGAAGTTTCGCCCGTTCAACACCATCGTTATTTCATAACTGACCGTCTTTGAGTTTTGTCCCCCAAGCTCTTCTTGATGGTGATGCCCTCACCGATTTCTGGGAATGGTTTATTACATTTGTCTCTCCTGTGCCTACTGACATGACAGAAGACGTTGACCCAATTCCTATATCCTTCATGCAACCCCCCAGATGTCTTTTTTGTGCATTTTGTCAGTTTCTGGTTGCTGAGTTCGGCATTCTTAAGTCTCTCTCGACAACATTGAGTCATGTCCTATTGGATTCTTGATCTACAGGTATTGAACTCGAGCAAGATCAGCGAACTTGACTATCGAGACACGCGGGGTTTGCTGCATACGTACAATACTCTACTGTTCTACCCAGCGTTCCGTTTATCTCCATCACGGAACTATCCCGTTCGGTGGTCACTTCTACTCCCGTTCACTAGCCAACGGCCGCTTCTCTCATAACCTGGGACCTTGATGTCTTGCCCTTCACCAGTCTTCGGTTCGTACTCATCCCATTGCCGGCGAATGAGACAGCCTTGAGAGATGTGGCTTTCCAAACCTTGGGTCTCACCAACCTTGGAATCTCCTTCAGGTGAAGGACATGGCCCACCTAGATCTTTGTAATTATTGCCGAGAGTGCCCTTGGAATCTCGCCGACGGGATTAGAGTATCCCGAGCCGATCTCAGTACAGTGATGGCATCTTCAGTCCGCAGAATTGAAACTTGTCCTTCACCTTCACCAATTACGTTAGTGGCTTAAGCGCCCATCATGCACTAATTCCAGATCATAGGCACCTCCAGCTGTTCAGTTGCCACTCGAAATTCTTGCACATTGGGAATGCCCGACAGTCTTCTACCCAATACATGCAGGGCGCAGCATGCATCAGGGCGTGGCGTGACTAGATTTACTGCACGAGAAAGCGTGTTTTAGCCGTATTGTGAAAATTTGGTCATACATAACGGCATATAAGTCCCTGACTTGAACGCATGGCAGGGCAGTAAGGCTAAGCCAGGCTGAAAAAAAAAAAAAGTTGAAAAAAGTCACTTTGGGTTCATTTTGAAGCAGATGCAGAGGCAAGCCATTCTTCATTATCAATAACACAAAACCCGCATTACGGACTGCATACAATGAGAAAACAAACATGGCCTTGCAAGGTTTCCAAAGAAAAAATGAATGTCATGTACCTCTACACAGGTTGAACCCCTGCCGCAGATACTCGAGCCACAGGTTCTTAGGTATCCAGATAACAAGGCATGATCATTAAGCAGCCGACTGCAACATTTATGAGAAAACAAGGTTTCTGCAGCATTATGTAGCTTCTTGCCCAGTTCACCGAGTTCCCGACTTTCAACGATATCCTGCCTTCGTGGCCTTTTCCAGTGGTTCTGTAGCTAGTATAAAAACTCCCTCCCCCCTCTCTTTCTCCCCCGATCTTTTGCCAGTTGTATTTTTTCACCATCATCATAACAACCCAGACCTCCTGTCATTGTTTTCAGTCTCACCACCAAAGGTACAGAGTTTCTTCTTGCCTATCTCACGAACATCCGAGAACTTTGCAAAGCATCAACCCTCTACACGAACAGCTGCAGCATTACAAAATGGCACCCAGCTACAACTCAAAGGCGAACCCCAACGGCTACAAGTCGATGGGAAAACGGCCCACCAATTTTAAGAAGAACCTCTTTGTATCTCCTGAGGAGCAGGCCGCAGTCGACGAGTTCCACGCCTTTTATGCGAAGTTGGACATGGAGGAAAAGGTATGATCACTGATATGACCAAGCAAAGGTACAAAGCGTTTGATCTGTTACTTACTCGGATTTCAGAACAACAAGAAGTCGCCTTACCAACCAGCCGACCATGACACGCCCAGGGCAAAGATGGAGAATCCGCTCCCTCCTGGAGCCAAGGGGCTAGCCTCCTCACGTTGGGCTAAGAAAGAGGAGGAGGACCCGAAGCCGCAATTTCCTGAGGCAACCAAGGACCCGAAGCCGCAGTTTTCCGAGGCAACCAGAGGGCTTGCTAGTTCTCGATTTCCCAAGAAGCCTTCTGGTAAGAGGAACGGAAAGGCTACTTACACCAAGAAGTGGAAGTTCACTCCCGAGGAGGACGCCGCCGTGAAGGCGTTTTTTGCTGAATCACCGGAGGACGAAGAGCAGAAGGTATAGTCACTGCCCGGAAACTATCCAATGTCTACGTTATCTGAAAGACTTGCTTACTAACTGGGATCTCAGGAAAATGGTGAATCTGTTTACCGGCCAGCCGATCACGACACACCCAAGGCAAAGATGGAGAACCCGCTCCCTCCCGGAGCCAAGGGACTAGCCTCCTCACGCTGGGCTAGAAAGGAAGATACATTTTTTGCCCCTTCGACGACATCGACCTCAGATGCTTGATTACCACGCCGTGAAGCAGTGAGAAAATCAGGAAAGAAATGAGAAGGAACGGGAACATTGGGGGGAAATATGCGAGATTCTGCAGATGATCAAGGACGCAGAGGGAGGGCGGAGGACAAGGAGGACATTGAGGAGAAGATACGTACCGAGGATTATGGCAAGAGTGAGCCTGTGCTTCGGCAGGAAGGAAGTCATGATCAGGTAGTGCAGGGGTAATGAATGGAATCAATGGTTCTTGCTTGCCATTTTTTTTAGGCATTGAATTGTGTGCCCGCTTTTACATTCGTATATAGGCTGCTTCGGCTTGTCGTAACATTTCCATCTAAACTTCTCAACCAGTCATATATATCTCTATCGCTTTCTTTCAATAATCAACCCTATACCTACCCTTCATTACGATCTTCGTTGGTTTTTTTTTCTTTTTTTTAAACCCGCTCAATAAAGCCAAGCCCTCCTGAACCCAAGGCTGTAGACATGACACTTGAGACATTACTATTGCCCAGGAGGCTAGATGAGTAACCGAACCATAGACCACTTGGCGGAACTGATACAACCTTCCTTCGTTTCTTCGTTCAGCCAGAACAGAGTCTTGTGATTCGGATTTACCCTTCACCAATCTTTAGGAGGTACTCGTCAAGTGAACCTAAAATGAACCGGCCCTGCTCCACCTTACCTTACCTCTCAGAATTTTACAGATTTGCTGATGATTCCGGAGTGGACAACCTTGAGCAAACCTTTTGCCTTGTTGTCACCCTTCACCACCACGTTACTCTTCACGGAGGAAGGCGGTGGAATATCCTCCAGGGCCTCTCCAGAACCCTATTAAAGCGCACCAAATCTCCCGCATTCCTATCTTCCTTGATCGCAGAACACAGTCATTTATCTCTGCCCATCCTGCAACTTTTCCAAGCACCAAAACAGCGATCGACCACACAATCGACCCCTCTTCACAAGCAGTACAGCTAAACTGATACCGTAACAATTCAAGATGGCCTCCAATGACAACCACAAGAAGCCTTTCAACAAGAAAAAGGGTAAACACACTTACAACAACAAGTACGGTTGGACCCCCGAGGAGGACGCAGCGGTGGAAGCTTTCTTTGCTGAATCCCCGAAGAAGGAGGGCAAAGAGCAGATGGTATAGTCACTGCCTAAAAAACACCTAACAACTACGTTATTCGAAAACCACTGCTTACCAACTGGGATCTCAGGACGAGAGCAAATCGGCGTCTTACCAAGCCGTTGACCATAAGAAGCCCAGGGCGAGAATGGAGAACCCGCTCCCTTTCGGAAACAAGGGCTTAGCGGGCTCTCGCTTTGCTGTAGAGGAGGACTTTAAGTTGCTTCCCCGGGGCGAGAAGGGATTGGCAAACTCACGCTTTGCCACATCTGAGACCACAGAGGAGGGCTCAAAGGCTTGAGATACTCTTGTTTCTCCTACACCTAGCCCTAGTCACCGAAAGCGGGGCAACAAACTAGAAGAATAGCCATCCTGCAGGGAACACAGATCATGTTGGCGGAGGGAATTTGATCAGGTAGCGTACGGGTAGTCTGGATCTTCACTTTGATTCAATGCTTCCTGTCAGTTTTTCCAAGTCGTGTGTTGTGTGCCCACTCTTACTTCTGCCCATTAAGAGGTGTTTATGCATTCTTAGCTTCTTGTTACCTCCACTCATTGTAAGGCAGAGTCATCGGAACTCTTCCGTCGGTTTTTCTGGCGCTTGGGCGAGGAAGGATGCGTCTTATGTCGCGATGTTACACACCCCGTGGTGAAGGCATTCTTCGCATAGTCGCAGAAAGCCGAGAAGCAGGAGGTACAGTCACTACAACATTCAGTGTCTAGTATACATTATCTTTCAGCAGATGTAATTTTGCTCTGTATATTATATCATTCAAGGTTTCTGTCCCCGTGATTACCTGGGCGACCCGGCTACCGCGCCCTCATCAACCGACCGGACTAAACCCCCAAGAGTCAGGATGGAAGAGTCAGGATAACATTGCCAAAGCTTTTCAATGTTTTCGAACCTGACCGAGAGTGAATGGGGTTTCGTCGAGTGAAGGGCCTCAAGTGTCCTATGCACCAAGGTTTCCGATGAACACCGGTCCTGTCCGTTTCTTCCAGTCGCCCTTCATAACATCATCAATTCCTCCTTTCCATTCCTACCTCTTCAAGTTTTACTACAAAACTTCCATTACACCCAACACTATAACACGCAAAAAACACAACCACATTCAAAATGTCTGGCTTCCCGAAGCGTAGCGCCGCTTTCAACCCGCATGCTTATCGCAGCCAGGCTGCGTATGATGCTCACAAAAACTCCATCAATGGTCCAAAGCAGGAACCGTCCGACGAGCCAAAGCCAACCGGTTCATTTAACCGCAACGCCTACCGCAGTCAGGCGGCCTTTGATGCGCACCAGAACACTTTGCATGGCGACACCCATCCTCCCAGGGGGCAATTCTTCGACATGCCGAAGAGCAACGATTCGTTCATCCCTCACGGTTACAACGACCAGGCCGGGCATCATTCGAACAAGAATGCCTCTACTCTACGCACCGGCAACAATCACCCGAAGAATCACCCCAAGCAGCAGTTCCGGAAGAAGCGTCCCACCAATCCGGCAAAGGGCTCCAGAACCCAGTGCGGTGTTGAAGGACGGCACTACATGTCCGACGCCGAAGTGCGCGAGTGGTTTCGCCAGGCCGATATCGACTACGAGAACAAGAAGAAGGTGCGCAGCTTTGCGTTAAAGTACACAATACCTACCTACCAGAACAATTCCACTGACACAATGCGATTGACACAAGCTGGGTACAACAAAGATTACGTGCCGGCGGGAGGCCACACTCCGGATTTCAGCGCCTTTCGGGCCAAAATTCCAGCGTCAAACGTCATCGTACCCGGCATGAAAAATTCCCTGCATGGACCCGGGTGTTCTGGACTACACCAACGCCGCCACATCGACTAGTTAGGGTGTCACAGATGAGTTGACATTGAGGATATCATGACTGGAGAGGTGCTTTGCTTCTTTCATGGATGATGGATGCTGGAACGATATATGGGATTTTTCCAGAAAAAAACAGCACTATCCATAACTTTTGTTTCTCATCACTAATTCGAGCTTAGGAGATGTTGAAGCTTGCATGCTTTTCTTTCTATTTCTTTTCATTTGTGTCCACTTTTCCCATGAAACTCGTGATAAGATTCCATGAAGTGTTCGCACAGTTTGGTTATTTAGTTTTGCACGCTGTATGTGCCATCACCCCTGACAGTCGTCGAGAGTCAAGGGTCCTATTCCAGATGCATACACGATACTTGACTATATGTTTTCGTATCATTACAAACCTTTTGAAATCATTGATCTAGAGAACTGGCCAGCCTATATATGCGTCATGACTTTTAGCGAAGACAAAACGCATTAGGATGCCGGAATGGATGGGCTAACGCTCATATCAGGTAAGTTTGGGGGACTGGTACTTCACCAACCCGGGTTGAGATGAAAAAGGGTTGATGTAACAACTGCTATACTCAAAACACCGGCAGCCTTTTGAACATCCTCAAGCATTTACGAGTGAAGGGAATTGAGTACGTACCGACATACTACGTGTGCTTCCCTTCACAGTATCGATTAATCAAGCTTCTATACTAAAGCCCTCCCTCTCCCACCTCCGTCTCACATCCTCTTCATTCTCACACCTATACACTTCTACCCAGGCCTACCTCTATCAAGTAACCCACCACTGCAAATGTTCAGATATTCTTATCATGTCCGACTTTCAGAGCAAGAACAAACAGTCGCGTGTTCCTTACAACGTCCGCACACCAAAATTTTCGAACTTCCCCAATCCCGAGCCGTTCCACCGCAATGCTTACCGGAGTATGGCCACCTACAACGTAATGCTAAAGGCCTGGAAGAAACAGCCAGAACCATCAATGATTTCATGCTTCGTCGTGACATTACTTCGACCTTGGTGGGACATGTGAGTTGAACAAAGGAAAACGAAGGGATAATGGCGAGAGCCTAGATGTCATCTTTCATTGTGCTGTTCAGAGAACATGGAATTGCTATTGCTTCCACTATGGTCTCATCTCGGATTCGTAGCATTTGCTTTTCCATCTGTGATACCCAAGATTAAGTCAGTTCCATGTGGGGCGTATCTTCCCTGAGATTTGGGTAAAGGCCGAGTGACCTTCTTGCCTTCCTAAGGTGAACGAGTGACGTGATATCGGTCCTCTACTTGCACTCACCTTCCACTTACCGTGTCAATAAGTAGGTAGGTAGGTACTTGCCTTCTCCCCAATAGGTATCCACCTTCTCAATACTTAGATACCAAGCCCCTTAACAAATACTTGCCTTCCGTCTCAACTCGCAAAGGGCACTTGCTTCTTCAATAGATACCAGCCTCCTCAATAGGTTTGCCTTCTCAATAGGTACTTGCCTTCTCCATCGCACTTGCCTTCCATATAAATACGTTTTCTACCCCTCCACTTCGTCCCTCTTTTCCTTCCTTCTCACATACTGTCATCTTTCCCTTGCCTCAAACCAGAACGAAATCGCAAATTCGCAACCATGTCCGATTTCCCCACCTACATCAAGCCTTTCAACAAGAATGCGTACCGCAGCGCTGCTGCTTACAAGTCGCATCTCGAGACTCAGCGCACGAAAGCATCACCCATTCCTCACCATGCGCCCCGCACAATTACCTGTCCAACCCTACCTCCAACACTTCGTATGGTCCCCCGATACAGGGCCCCGCGCGCACTGCAATCGCCCAAAATAATGACCGACGAAGAAGTCAGGGCTTGGTTCAGGGAAGCCGAGGAAGAGTATGAAGCCAAGAAGAAGGTATGTACGCCCAATATCACTTGATCACAGTCTCAGCCCTCAAGCAGCCATCACTAACGTATTCGGTCGACAGGCCGGTTACTACGACGGCTACGTCCCTGCCGCTGGTCCCAGCCGCGGCGTCCTGGCTGATACTACCAATGCGCTGTCGAAAAGAAGGACGGGAATGGAGAACTCAATGCACGCGCCCAAGAAACAGTCGATCATCTTGAACCCAGCTGCTAGACCCTACCGCGCCGTCCTGGCCAACCCCACCAATTCGCTGCCGAAGAGAAAGACGGGACTGGAGACGTCCATGCATGCGCCGAAGAACTTCAAGTTGTCCATCGTCACGAACTGAGCCGACCCATTGCTAGGTGTAGGCACGATTCTGGTCCTCGAACCACAAATGAATGGCGACAGCTTGAGCAAGATGTGAGGGGGAGTTGAGCGATGGGGGTTTAGTAAGAGGGACACTATGCTTTCTCAGCAAAGTTGCACAATTTTCTCAATGGTACAAGGATTTCGGTGCATTGGTCGGGATTTTTTAGGTATCTCTGGTATGTTTTCACCTGGCCCAGGAGGTAGAAAGCCAGGTAAAGCGATGAACGTAGGATGTGATATGAAGTGGATATAAATCGGGTTCTGAGAGATGTTGGCGATGGGCTGGAAGTTACAAAACCTCCGTATTGATGGTCTGCCGTCCAGCCTTGAGGGAACAGACTAGACCTTGTTGCTTTCATGATCAATTCGCTCTTTTCCATGAGTGACCGTTCCAATGTGATCGCTGAGTGACACTTGTCGTCAGTCATAACTGAGGCTTGAAAAACCGTCTCGTGTGCCTTGTATGTTCTCCATCTTAAGCATCCAGTCTTTTGCCAAGCTTCCATCTGTCAGTCGTCACCCTGTTTGCTCTGTTTCTATGCATCGCAGCCTAGCATCGATGCATCCTTCAAAGTTATCCTGACCATCCGTCACCCGCGGTGTCTCCGTGCTTCTGACGTCAGGGAGTATTGGGAGGCTGCTGTGGAGAGTCGAGATACATTTAACTAGGGCCCAGGTAGATAGGAATGAGAAAAAAAAAAAAAAAAAAAAAAAAAAAAAAGGGGACTAAGCGCGCTTAATCCGGCATCTCGGATCTACGATGACTGTGGAAGTGGTATCTTGTCTTGAGACACTAATATGGTGGACAGACAGAAATAAGGTTAACCGGCAAGCGTACCTGAAGAACAACATAACCAGCCAGCCACTTGACATCAAGGGGATAAAAATAACAAGAAAACATTGGTCGGAAACTCGGCATCCATGTATCTAGCTTAGTAGTGTGGGTATGTAGTGATGTCCGTTGTTGCTCGGAGTGAGCTGAGCCTCCGTCTCTGTCACATATCGCCAGTCCAGCGAGACCAGGAACCCGCTTCAGCCCAAATGACAACTCACTTGTCGAGTGTCAGCCATGTGTTCAAATGACAATGCATGCAGCTCTGCAGAACAGTGTGCATAGGTATGACGTTGGAGTTACATGCATCAAGGGGAGGTAGTATATTGTATCAAGAGCCGAGGCGAGAATCGTGTTAGACGGATGGCAGTCTTCTTGAGCGAAAAGGCATGACGTTATGGAAAAAAAGCCGCTATTGTTTGATGAAGGAGGGTCTTCAGGTGAATCGGAGCTCGCCACGTACGGGTTCGGGGTAGCCAGATTGATAAGGTACAGAACGGACGACATTTCGGGCTTGGAAGGCATCGTCATGCTGCTTTCCTCGATCCTATGTTTCAAGGGGTGACTGGTTCGAATATGCAAGGTGCAGACGGGACATTGATAGGAGACATCGGCAGGGTTCCCCGGGTATTGGGTTCTAATGAAACACCATGGGTTGTTCTTTGTGTTGCCTGGTTTGTCTCCCGCATTTCCAGAAAAGGGGCTGATAAACATGAGAGGACAGTACGCGGCTCTTGGATGAATTCTTGGTAGTCGAGTTGCGGCCTCACCGTCGGGCAACAAAATGCAACCTGAACTCAACGGTTCGTCGTACCCACGAATGATCATCACCCAGACGGCCGCCTTGTTGGATTTGATAGTGATTGATGGCGGCCTAAACAAATACTTTCGGAGCCAAGTCCATCTCTGATTTGCGAGCTGTGCGCGGAGCCTCATGTAACCATAACTTTGCAGAAGCTGGAGCAACGTGAAAATCAGAGCACGGGGTAATGGGGTCGGGTCGGAGATAATTCATAGAATAGCCGACTGGTCAGCGATCACTGGAGGGGTTTTCGAGTGGCTTGATGGGTTGTCCCAACTGTGAAGGGCCGGGTTGGGAACCCCGCGGGGATGAACGACTTCCTCGTTTCACCCCCTGTCGAACACATGCATATATGGCGTAGCCTCCGCCAATTGCACAATCTGCGACAGCCACACCTGAGAATGATTCCTTTCGCTGGCGTTATTCTGTGCCTCGTCGTGGCAGCGAGTCGGTGTTCGAAGCCGAAGTCTGGTAGTCTTTTTGCGGGACGCTTTTCGAGTAGCACAACAGAAAGCTCTCGACAGATTTTCACCGACGAGGAGCCTGACAATCAGTGTTCGCTGGCGCCCGAGCCGGAACCGTCCTCACAGGCAGAACCTTCTTATTTCGGGAGTGGCACATAGCACATAATGTGGTCTTGCGCTGGCGCTATGGCATAGAGCGTGACATGGGTAGCGAACGAGCGGAATGTCGGACTGTTGAGGGTGAACGTTCGGTAGACAACGGAATAGGCCGTAGCAAACATGGGGTATCCTCGGTTCGACCAGGTACCATGAAGTGCTCCCCCTTCCTATGACAAGATTTTGGGAAGGAGAGGTCTTGCAAGCTAACACGCCTATTCCTCATGTAAAGTGCCAAGACAATGCCTATGGGTACGGATTGTTCAGATTCGTCCTGCATGTGCTTGCAGACACTTGTCTTCCGAATATCTTCACTCTTTCCTATTGTGGTAATCCCGCTACAACCGGAAAAAAAGTATAAACGACAAGGCAGAGCAAGGCCACAAGATTTCGGAACCATGTCGCGACAACTGTGTTTCGATTGGGCAGCAACGCCAATATTGTGGTTGATTCTGAGAGCACTAATTGCCCTGTGAGAAGTTTGGAGGAAGCATCTCAACCAGAGGGTAGGCGTCGTGAAAATTTGATTGGGGCGGCGCCGGGAATGTTGGCATGCGTATATTGCGTACCACTCTTTCTTGCGCATCTTGCAGTACACCGCGTATCAGAACCATTGGGAAAGAAACCAGGCCAGCCCGCGCTTGGCGACTAACGCGATTACCCGTGTTGCGACCTTGCTGTTTGAGGTTACTGTAGACAGTGCTTCGCGAACCTGAACGGAGCTGATTGCTGATCACCCGGCGAGTATCAACTCCATCATGAGACACCAACTGGACGTCCAGACCACAGGTTGGGCACAGATTGGTCAACGCTCAGTTGGCAGCGCAGAGCCGCATAACCAACTAACAAGCCGGTAAAGGTTAAATAAGGGCGGCTGGCGCCGAGAGTAAGTCTGAGCCCTTACTCGATCTCCAACATTCCCAAACAACTCATTTCCAAGAATTCGAGCCCATTCAGGATGGCGACCTTGTTCGATAACATTCACAGGCGTGCGCACCGGGTGCATGCCCGCTTCCATCCCCACCACGGCGATCGTCACGCGGAAAGAGACTCGTATATGACCTTGACGATCCGTAATCTTCCCTTGGGAACCACAGAAGACGACGTCTTTGAGCATATTAGGCGTCAGAGACACGATTCTGACCCCATTGTCAATCCCTTGACAAAGGAAACGAACCAGCGCACGCTCTGCGCGGTCGTCACAATTCGCCAGGAGACAGAGGAGAAATGCAAAGTTGTGCGTGACAAGCTCCATCTTACACGCATCTACCCAAAGTTCCCGGCGGGAGATGTCAAAGATTCAGTTGTCATGGTGAGCGATGAGTTTCTCGGTGTAACAACGATCGCCGAGCACGATGACCCTCAGTTCGAGTAAGCCACTTTGCCATAACCTGGATTCATGTTCGATGATGAGAGCTTCTCGCTGACAACAATGCCGAATACAGTATGTATTTCGTTCATGGTCTCGGAGGGCATGCTTTTAAGTCTTGGAGCACGGACAAAGGCGCACCTCACATGTGGCCCAGAGACTTCCTTCCCAACGACATCAAAGCTAGGCCGCTGGATCCCATGAATTGGCACGGCCCGAAGTTAGCTGGTCGCTTGGCAACCGTGGGATATCGTGCAAGCGCTATGTGTGCCTCCGCTGCCACTGCGACGATCGACAAAATATCGCAGAATTTCCTCAACCATCTTAGGGCTGACCGGACTGAGGTGAGTCCAACCACCATAGTTTGTCTGAGTCTCTTACTAACGCCCAGTCCAACAGGGATCAAAGCGTCCAATGTACTTCGCTTGCCATAGCCTTGGAGGCTTGGTCGTCTGTCAGGTATAGGAAACCCTGTCGACTCGAGGATCTGGTGTGGTTGTGTCTAACCATCGGTTCTTTTAGGCCCTTATTCATGCTCTGTCGAAAGAGTCACATAGGCTAGAGCGATTCCAAGATTGTCAAAGTACATTCTTCAATGGTGAAGAATGCCTCGTCAAGGGGATTTTCTTCTTTGGCACTCCCTTCGTGAGTCCGCAACCTTCGAACGCCCCGGAATCCCTGAATGTATCGGCGTTTGCTGACAGACGGCAATGATTACAGGAAGGCTCCAGGCTAGCCAGATATGCTTCCCGCATTGTCAAGTTCCTCCGGGGCAATGACACTCTGATAGAGAGCTTGAGTATCGAATCCGAGGACCTAAACACCATTGTTGCCAGGTTTGATCAGATGCGAAACCACCCAAGGACAAGGATTCCGATTGTGATCGCATATGAGATGCAGCCAATGTTTGGAATGAGATTCGTACGTCGAGATATCGTTTCTTTTTTCAGTGACAGGTCTCCTCAGGAATCGTAAGAGCTCCGATTCAACCTGACACTAACACATACTCTCAGGTAACCGACCCCGACTCAGCCATAAGCTCATTTGACTGCCAGACCATCGGCATTGAAGGCGATCACCGTACCATGATCAAGATGGAGAACAACCAGGACCAAAGTTACCGTGACGTTGCTGAATTCATAATTCGAATGATCCAACGAACACTCTCTGGATCCAGCATTATTCCATCCTCTTCTGCGGCGAAGCTTGAGAGAAAAGTCTTTCAGGAACTGCCTTTCAGACAGAACCTAGCGAGAGACGAAAGCCCCCCTCCATATAAAGGCCAAGATTCATGCCGGCCTTCTACAGCAAGTTCGGCCAGCGACGGAACATCGGCCTCTGACCCTTCTCCTCACTCCCAACCAGTTGGTTTGGGTATCAGCGACCCAAAATCCGAAGAAAACGACACTCCCAGCATATCCCGCTCCAACATCGTCCCCGTCAGACTCGACGACCTTATGATGCCTCCCAATCGTATAAATGGTGGAAAGGAAGATAACCGAGATTTCGCCCTGCTCTCAAAATTCGACGTCGTCTTCCTTCTCGACGACACGGGATCGATGATGGAAGCCATCGAGCCGGCCCCCTCATTTAATGGCAACTGCGAGGCAAAGGAACGTTCGAAATGGGATGAAATGATCGAATCTCTGCGCTACATCGTCGATATTGTAACACACTATGACCGTGACGGTGTAGACGTGCATTTCTTCTGCCGGGACGATAAGGACAAGTTTAGAATCCAGGATGGACAACGGGTTCTAGATCTCTTGACCAACGAAGTCAGTCCAGACGAGATTGGTGGTGGAACCTTCATTGCCGAGCGACTTTGGACAATCCTGACGGCCTATATCGACCGGTTCGAAAACTATCGGCTACGGATGGCACAGCGGGCACCTTGTCCCGAGAAGCCAAAAATGTTGAACCTTATTGTGATTACGGACGGAGCGGCGGATGACAAGGATGCGGTAGAGGATGTAATCGTCAATGCCGCGAAGAGGCTGGATGAACTGAGGGCGCTTCCAAACCAGGTAGGAATTCAGTTCCTGCAAATCGGCAGAAACGAAGCGGCTTCGAGATGGTTGAAGACATTGGATGATGACCTGAACGAGAAGCATAGAGTTCGAGACGTGAGTTAGACCTTCCCATCCATCTTATCCTGCCGCCTCATTGAAGCCATACTGACAGAAAGCGTGGGATAGATGGTTGACACCCGTCCATGGGACAGAGTCGATGAGATCGATAAGTCTTTGCAAGAGAGACTTACTAACATTCTCCTTGGCGGCATTGACAGAGCTAGAGACATGGAGTAAGCCCAAAGAAATGAACGAACACGGTCCCTCTAATGCTCCACCTGAGTGAAAGGATGGAACAGATTATAAGGCGCTTTAGAGTTGATTCTCGGTTGCTTTGTTTGGGTTTGACCGAAGGTCACATTCGGTTGGCAGCGCACGCGGGACATGAGGCCATGACCAATGGAAATAATTATTTGTCTTGATGAGTGAGTCTACATGGCGTCGCGGTGTTACGGCCCCTGTGTATCATTCAATATCTGTTCTATAATCACTGCGAGTTTCCCCTTTGTTAGCTTTCGGGACGATACATCAATGCGTGGGCTGCCCTGACGGGCAAAGCTACCTGTATGTTTCCCAGCTCGTGGAATACTCAAACAATCTTGGTCTCCACGCCTCGCTTCAACCAAAGCACCCTATCCTCCACCCCTGCCTTCGCAAAGTCATTTGCCAGTTGGGTCCCAGATTCCGCAAAGTGACTCCATGACTCGAAGTGCAATGGAACAATTACGTCGGCTCCGATGTCCTTGGCCAACTGCGCTGCCTGGTCACCACCCATGGTGATCTGCAGCGGGCCTCCCCCATCAGCACCCCCGCCGGGCAAGATTACAGTTGCCTTTCCGATGTTCAGCATGGCGACGGCGATATGATATTTCGCCTTCATCTTGCCAAGCTCTTCGAGATGAATCGTATCTCCAGAGAAGTATATCGCATTCGGACGACCGTCAGGCTGTGTTCCAAAAGCCCCGTCTGAAGAGCTGACAATGAAGCCCACTACCTGACCGCCGGGTAAGTGCTTGCATGGAGTGGCCGTCACTTCCAGCTTCCGCGCTTTTCCCTCACCTCCAAGATCAAGACAAACGGTTTCCCAGTTCTTAAGGCCCCGCACTCCTGGCCGCGGAGCTAGTTGAGAAGCGCCGTCTCGGGTGGTGAGTACCCTTCGAGCATCAAGAAGGCGTCGGCCGAGCTCATCTAGGTTATCCGGATGATCTTCATGGCTGAGTAGAACAGCATCGATGGGAGGGAGCTGGTCGATCGTTAAGGCCGGGGAGTCGGACTTTTTGATGACAAGACCGCGATACTCGATTTGGGTGCTGCCGGGACCGAATACGGGGTCTGTGATAAGATTGATACGGTTCGGACTGCTTGGCTCACCAAGATGGATCAAGGCGGTAGCTGTACCAATATTGGTGATGCTGAGGGGGTAATCAAACGAGATTTGTGTCGGGGCCATGATGAGAGATCAGGCGCCGTGGACAACCACCTTTGTGTCGATGTTTGATAGCCGTGGAAATGTGAGTACTTGTCTTGCAATTCTCTCCAAGCCAATTTGGAAATTGCATGCTGCTAAGCAGACCGTAGTTCTGTTGAGCTTTGGGTGGTTTATGTAAAGACAGATCCCTCATCAGTGCGTAATGTGGGCATCATGAGCAACGGCGCCGCAGTGACCATGTTCTCCACAGAAGTCCTTCAGAGTGAATATCGGATGATGGTTCAAGGCCCAGGCGTCGAAACGGCATTTGGAGAGACGTGGGAGAAAGTCCACGTCAACCATGTATTGGCTCGTCCTGGCCTTTTCGGAAGCCAGTCGCTTGTCATGTTGGGCCGTCTTCAAGCTGGAGGGGGGAGGATTGGCAAATAACAAGTTTGGAAAAGGTGCGAAATTGTTCAGTTTCGGAATGGAACTCAAATGTGTGTAAAGTGGAAGTGTCGGGCAGAGCTGATTCATACCACGAGAGGAAAGCGCGTGGTTGTAGTCCAGTGTCGTCGTGGGTGCTATCCACCTCACTACCGACATACAAGTATCCGACGTGCCGACCTTCCCCCATACCTGTACCTCTATGAACAACAGATAAGATAAGCTGATACCCAATAAGAAACGAGACGGGATGGAACCCCCCGCCGCGACACGGCTTGAACGCTCAGACCACCTAAATGTAACTGCATTCACACCTACATACCCGACTCGACCTCAGCTGGGGCAAGAATGCGACAATGCACTGGACCCACCCACCGCCCAAGGCAACGAGAGCTTGAGGTAAGCTCCATCGATAGCTACGTACCTTTGTCCGTGCGTCAACGCCAGCCCGACTTGTTCAGTTGCATCAACACAACATCTCAATCCGGAACAGTTCATCCATCAAACAACAATTTCGTCTACCATACCCGAGCCCTTCGACCTGCGCGCTTACCGTTCTATTCACAAACCCAAGAAACAGTCAATCACGCTGACGCCTCAAGACAGCCTGACGTCACCTTTCCATCAACTAGACAAACCGCCAGTCGTTGCAATATCTCCACAATAATGGCGGACCAGGAGCGCCAACATGCCTTGGCTTCGTTCAAGGCGAAACTGATCGAGTCGCGAGAGTGGGAAGCAAAGCTCAAGAACTTGCGTCTGGAACTCAAGGGGCTACAGAAGGAGTACGACCAAACAGAAGAGAACATCAAGGCGTTGCAAAGTGTCGGCCAGATCATCGGCGAGGTCCTCAAGCAACTGGACGATGAGAGGTGTACGTCTTGCATCCCCTATCCATGCTCTGGAGATCATTACGAACTAATTATGCCATAGTTATTGTCAAGGCCTCCTCCGGCCCCAGATACGTCGTCGGCTGCCGCTCAAAGGTCGACAAGGCGAAGCTCAAGCAGGGAACACGTGTGGCGCTCGACATGACGACCCTCACCATCATGCGCATGCTCCCCCGCGAGGTCGACCCACTAGTATACAACATGTCGCTCGAGGATCCTGGTCAAGTCAGCTTCGGGGGTATCGGCGGTCTCAACGATCAGATTCGTGAGCTCAGAGAGGTTATTGAGCTGCCCCTCAAGAATCCAGAGCTGTTCTTGCGAGTCGGTATCAAGCCCCCCAAGGGTGTCTTGCTCTATGGCCCTCCAGGTACCGGAAAGACGTTACTAGCCAGGGCTGTCGCGAGCAGCTTGGAGACCAACTTTTTGAAGGGTAAGCTCGCACCCTCTTTGTCTTGCATCTTGACGGCGCCATTACTCGAACATACGTCACTAATACTGCGCGTCTGTAGTCGTCTCCTCCGCCATCGTCGACAAGTACATCGGTGAATCCGCCCGATTAATCCGCGAAATGTTCGGCTACGCCAAGGAACACGAGCCCTGCATCATCTTCATGGACGAGATTGATGCCATCGGTGGCAGGCGTTTCAGCGAGGGTACATCTGCCGACAGAGAAATCCAGCGTACACTTATGGAGCTCCTCAACCAGCTCGACGGTTTCGACTATCTCGGCAAAACCAAGATCATCATGGCGACGAACCGCCCCGATACCCTCGACCCTGCTTTGCTGCGTGCCGGCCGTCTAGATCGCAAGATTGAGATTCCTCTGCCGAATGAGGTCGGTCGTCTGGAGATTCTGAAGATTCACGCCTCTGGTGTGGTTATTGAGGGTGATATCGACTACGAGAGTGTTGTGAAAATGAGTGATGGCTTGAACGGTGCTGATTTGCGCAATGTGGTTACTGAAGCGTAAGTTGATAATTTCCTGCTATAACAAAACGCCGACCATGCAACACCCTGCTAACTCTTCTATTTTACATAGTGGTCTGTTTGCGATCAAGGACTACCGCGATGCGATCAACCAAGACGACTTCAACAAGGCGGTGCGCAAGGTTGCCGAGGCCAAGAAGCTTGAGGGCAAGCTCGAATATCAGAAGCTATAATAAGACTGGAGTAGTTGGTGGTTGAAGTTGTTGGGGAGGAGGTGGTAGCAGTTGAGCAAATAACAGTGATGAAGCATCTTAGACACGGACATAGCAGACTTTGCCCTACCTAGATGCGAGTGGGGAAGATGATGATCAGCGAGCTTTCAGCTGTAATTTGTACACAAGCGACTACCACGATGCCCGCAGGAAGGGCGTCAGAATGGCTATTTGATGGCTTATGGCATCGTTCCCTTCCTTCAACCCTGGGGCGAAGCTTGACGGTTCTTGGTCTTGGGCAGTAACGATGACATGTCCTTGAAATTCGCATCCTACCTTAGTTCTTCAGGACCATCCTCAATCGAATGGCTGGAATTGGGTAGACAAATTACCGTAGAAACCATCTCCGCTTCAGGTGATTATCACTTCCCCATGGTGGTAGCTGTCCAACCTTGTCACAACGAGGTAAGCAACACAAAAACTCAGTATGGAGTGACCCCCCCCCCCCCCCCCCCCCCCCCCTCCGAGCCACGGTTGTTTCCTCCCACAGCATTAGTAAAGTAAGTAGCAGCGCTTTCACCACCGCCTTTACCACCGCCATGCAGCCTCCCGGCTGCTGGTCTACGGCACCCGCTTTGTTATGCCTTGCTGTTGAGAAGGATGGATGAGCAGATGTCTGGATGGACGTACGGATGGATGAATGGCAAGATGGTTCCGGTTTATGCAATCCTGCCAATCAACCATGTTTACTAGTAGTGTTTTTTTTTTTTTTTTTTCTCTCGCTTAGTTCATTATGAAAACAAGAGGGAAGATTGTCCGATCGTCTTTGCCCCTAAGGCAACGAGGTTGAATACGCTTGCCCCTTCTTTTGTGTGACATGTTCCACGTGTATGTATGGACATGCCGTTGTTGATCAGCTCGGGTTCCTGGCCAAACACGGACGGAATGGGGTCGGTCTAGACCTCCTACTAGCAAAGACAAGGAGAAAGACTCCGGCATCACGTTTTCCGGCCGCGGTTATTGTCCGGTCTGTATGTGACTTCTGTGCCACTTCTCCGCATGTTTCCATGGTCCCATCCCGTTCCACGTTGCCTTGTGAAGGTGGATCGACCCAAAATATCTTTCCCGCTTGCTTATCTACTGTATTGTGTACACTGACAATCGATAATATGTGTAAAAGAAAATCGTAGGTGATTCGGCTTATAACTTGCCAATGTGCACTTTACCTCTTGTGATGCGATGGAGCAGATAGTGTTATGCGGCTCAGTGGCTGGGATGGCTGGGTGGCTAGTGTAAAAGTAGTAAGTAGGGTGCCATCCATCTCTCTGTGAATGGTAGTTGTCTGTTCCTGTTCCTGGGCGGGCGCCGCCGCCGAAGAGCGGATCAGCACGATACCTGGTAGCATGGCAAATAGACTCTAGTCGTTAGGGTTTGTGGAGCGGCTAGTCCACGCGATAGATATCCGGCTGGGATTGAATGGTGGTAGAGTGGTAGCATTATTGCCATGTGAGAGATATAGAGTGAGAGCTTGCCGGCTTTGAACAAGGCGCAACCGTATTGTAAGCTTGCACAAAGAAGGAAAAAGGGAAACTGGACCGCGGACGTCGTTCGTATTTTCCTTTGGGTTTGTGGCTGACTGGCTGATGATCTTTCTAGAAAGAGAGGTATGGACGAATTCCATCAACCTAACTCTTGTGACATCGTGTTTCTTTTGGTGACACTTTTCATCATCCAGCATATGAATGACCCGGCATTCTGGGAGCAAAAATTTCATGGGTTGCCAAGAATAGCAGGAATTCGGCCGGCGGCCGAATGGTATTCGTTTTCCACATTTTTAGCGGCCTGGATGGTCCTCCTTGTGCCCGTGGGGAAGGGTGCCACAGCCGCAAAAAGTGAGCTCCTATAAGATGACTTCCACTTCTGTCGATTGCTTGGAAATTCAGCTAGCGACCTGGGGCAAGCCGTGTCGTCGTACTCAGAGTACCCAAAGGAAATCATATGGAGCTTGAGGGCACCTGCGAACGAAGAAAGACGAATACTAGGGTCCCGGTAGTTTGTGCCTTGGGGTTGGGTTTGTCCTGTGATACGCGGGAGATGCTTGTTGTTTGTCGTTGTTCTGCTCCGACCCAGGTTCGGGAGGCTGAGTAGGTCAGGGGTTGATCGACACTAACCGCGTGATGGCGTCCCCATACCCCGTATGTTTATTCATTATCCCGCACATTTCGGAAAGGATGTCACGGCCGATCGCCGGGCTTGAAGAATGGATGCCGCGCGTCATGCGAAGGGCGCAGACAGCATACGTTGCCAGTGACGTTGCGGAGGGCTTAACGGGCCCTCGTTCGGCTCACGGCGCTGTTATGAACGAGGCTATCCACCGCCGTAGCCCTGAAACCAAACCCCTGAACACATTGCCACAGCATAGGTACGCAGTAGACACCCGACTTTGGAATTACTGTACGAGCTCACACTTATCGGAATGTGAGAGAAACCCGGCAAGGCGGTGAGGATGTAGAGATATCGAAGGCTTGCAGGAGTACGCCACGGTCCATTTGGAGAGAGCTTTTGGCTTTCATAATCATTCAAAGCCTCTGCTGGGGTGACTGAGTCGTGGATGTTGTGGAGAGTTGTATCTCTACCTGCTTGCCGAGCGCAGTGCGTGCAGTGCATGAGGTTTATGACCCAACCAATAAAGGGAGCCCCGTGCCTCGTTTTGCCAAGCAGTGAAGAGTCGCCAATCAATGACAAAGCTGGAATGGCTTGCATTTGACTGTTTACTGTTGACATATATGGCGTCCACCAGAGATGTGACCGGTTTGGCGATCTCGAGTTGGCTGAAACACACGATATCGTGCAAATAGGTAGGAAGAAGTGTACATTGCGGTCTGGCCTTCTACAACACATTTCATGGTGGGCCCGGGGTGGCACACATGTAAGCTGCGGGCTTTCAGCTGCGTCTGTGCACATGTAAGACCTAACACGGTCAGTTTCTTGCGAGACACAGCAAGAGAGGATACGATTCAAGATGAGAAGAAGTCGTGGATATGGATGGCCATCATGATCTTGAGTTATCAAGAAGATTCTAGATGGTATCAGAGTTGATGGGTGGTGTGTGAACCTTAAGTAAACAACAGTCCCGTCCCCATAAACAACAAACCGAACCCCTCCATCACCAAGCGTCGGGCCTGCCCATGGAAACTGCTGGTCCCCCGCTATATTCAAAAGGCCACCACCAAAACTCCGAATATGTATCACGCTAGAACACTAGGCTACACGATCACAACAACAACATTCAGACAGGCGCAGAAGTACGAATTTTGCTCACTCAGTGGACAATGGTGCAGAGCTCTCTGGAGACAACAGCAAAAACATGGCAAAATTGTGAGCATGGGACGATTTTGGGCAGAGTCTGGATGAACGCAGAGACCGGTGGACACCAAAGTCGTTTGGCTGGCCAAGGAGAAGCGAGCAGGTGGGCGAGACCCCTGTCCTTGGCGATACGTAGTGCGCCTGTGCCCCACCTGGGAAGCTGCACCTGCACCACCAGTCTCACCAGCGAACTGGTCAATGCCATTGGTGCCGTTTGTCCCTGCCGTCCGCGCTGGCCAGTGCTGTCCACCAAGTTCGCACCAAGTGCCCTGCCAAATCCGCCCGTGGACGGGGCAACGGGGCCGACCTGAACACAGCCAGTCTCCAGTGAGAGACGGACGGATGCCAAAGAGGACCAAAGATAACCAAAAGAGAGGGAGCCAAGAGAAGTGACGAGAGCCCGGCACCCTCCCCCGCCCGTTTCAGCCATAAAGACAAGTCTCCCCGTGGCCGTCGTGTCTTTGAACCCTTCTGGCCTACTTACTCTATCTATCCATTCATCTTCCTTTCGTCCTCCAAACGACCCCGACTGACTCGACGTTCCTCACGTTCGCTTCGCCTTCTGTCCGTTTCTTTAATACTTGATACCCCCCCGATCCAGGTCCCGCGCCCGTACAACTCCGTACGCCGTCTCACCGCAAGACACCCGGCTCCCACAAAACAACTACAACAAGCTTCAAATCCTTATTCGGTACCGTCATTCGTTGGTTAATCAGTCAACATGTGGTACGTTGAAGAGAACCTCACTGGCTTTCCATGTCTGATTCAGCTGCTTTTTCGTCCAAGCTGAAGGCCCCGCAATCACTCCTGAACAGGGCCGATCACAGAGACGGCTGAAGCGCAAACCCAGCCCCCGCTTAATGCGAGATCTTTGCTAACTGGAGTTACTGTTGCCGTGTAGTGGTATCTTCGGTTATATCAACTACCTAGTGGAAAAAGACAGGAAGTACATTCTAGACACACTCGTTAACGGTAAGTCATGAGTGCTTGCGCGTGCTGTTCCTCTCTACACGACACCAGGACTTTTCCCGGCCCTTTGTCCGCAAAGACACCATTTACGAGGCTCTGAGCCCGTTATCAACGGTAGCCGACCGCTGACACTGCCAACCTAGGCCTTTCCCGTCTCGAGTACCGCGGCTACGACTCTGCCGGCCTTGCCATCGATGGCGACAAGAAGAACGAGGTGCTTGCCTTCAAGGAGGTGGGCAAGGTTGCGAAGCTGAAGGAGCTTATCGACAGCCAGAACCTCGATCTTGAAGAGACCTTCGATTCCCACTGCGGCATCGCTCACACTCGCTGGGCCACCCACGGTCCCCCTTCGCGTGTCAACTGCCACCCGCACCGGTAAGTTCTGCGGCTCTCATAGACTGCCTTCGGGACAAGTTCTGATCAAGTAAATCACAGTTCTGATCCCAACTGGGAGTTCTCGATCGTTCATAACGGGATCATCACGAACTACAAGGAGCTCAAGACTTTGCTCGAGGGCAAGGGTTTCAAGTTCGAAACCGAGACCGACACCGAGTGCATTGCCAAGCTCGCCAAGTACCTCTACGACCAGCACCCTACTGTCGGCTTCACTGATCTCGCCAAGGCCGTCATCAATGAGCTCGAGGGTGCTTATGGTCTTTTGATTAAGAGCGTTCACTACCCTCACGAGGTCATCGCTGCTCGCAAGGGTTCGCCCCTCGTTATCGGTGTCAAGACTCAAAAGCGCATGAAGGTCGATTTCGTCGATGTTGAATACGCTGACGATCAGCCCCTGCCCGCTGAGACTGCCTCCCAAAATGTCGCTCTCAAGAAGTCCGCGGCTGGCCTTCTTTCTCCCAACGGCCTTTTGGGCGCTGCCGACAAGTCTCTGCTCCACCGTTCGCAGTCGCGTGCCTTCATGACCGATGATGGCATGCCCATGCCCACCGAGTTCTTCCTCTCTTCGGACCCGTCCGCCATTGTTGAGCACACCAAGAAGGTCATGTACCTCGAGGACGACGATATCGCCCACATCCACGAGGGCTCTCTCAACATTCACCGTCTGAAAAAGGCCGATGGTAGTTCCAACGTCCGTACAATCCAGACGCTTGAGCTTGAGCTTCAGGAGATCATGAAGGGCAAGTTCGACCACTTCATGCAGAAAGAGATTTTTGAGCAGCCCGAATCCGTTGTCAACACCATGCGTGGTCGTCTCGACGTTGCCAACAAGACGGTCACTCTCGGTGGCTTGCGCAGCTACATTGACACCATCCGTCGCTGCCGTCGCATTATCTTCATTGCCTGCGGTACCTCCTACCACAGCTGTATGGCGGTTCGTGGTATTTTTGAGGAACTGACTGAGATCCCTATTTCTGTCGAGCTAGCGTCTGATTTCCTCGACCGCGAAGCACCTGTCTTCCGTGACGACACCTGCGTCTTCGTTTCTCAGTCTGGTGAGACCGCTGATTCGCTTATGGCGCTCAGGTACTGCTTGGAGCGCGGAGCCCTCACCGTTGGTATTGTCAACGTTGTCGGTTCTTCCATCTCCATGATGACTCACTGTGGTGTGCACGTCAACGCCGGCCCTGAAATCGGTGTTGCTTCCACCAAGGCCTACACCTCCCAGTTCATTGCCATGGTCATGTTTGCCCTGTCCCTTGGCGAGGATCGTGCCTCCAAGAAGGAACGTCGCGAGGAAATCATGGAGGGTCTTGGAAAGATTAGCGAGCAGATCTCGTCCGTCCTCACGCAGGATCGGAAGATCAAGCAGTTGTGCGAGGAGAGGTTCAGGAACCAGAAGTCTCTCCTGCTCCTTGGTCGTGGAAGCCAGTACAGCACAGCTCTCGAAGGCGCCTTGAAGATTAAGGAGATTAGTTATCTCCACTGCGAGGCCGTCATGAGTGGTGAGCTGAAGCACGGTGTACTGGCTCTTGTCGACGAGAACCTGCCCATCATCATGATCTTGACCCGCGACAAGCTCTTCAGGAAGAGCTTGAACGCCTACCAGCAAGGTACGTTTCCCACGTTTTCCCAATGACTAAAACCCACAGACAAGATGCTAACCGCTTCAACAGTTGTCGCTAGAAAGGGCAAGCCCGTCGTCATCTGCAACGAGAGCGACGCTGAGTTCCAGACCAGCGATGCCGTCAAGATCGAGATCCCCAAGACCGTCGACTGCCTTCAGGGTATCTTGAACGTCATTCCTCTGCAGTTGATCGCCTATTGGTTGGCCGTTATGGAGGGCCTCAATGTCGACTTCCCCCGAAACCTTGCCAAGTCGGTGACTGTGGAGTAAGGGATAAATGAACGGGGTTGTCGAGCGATCGACTTATGCACGAAGAGACGTACGAGACAAGGAAGACAGGTCTTCTGTTGATGAGCGGATTTTTGATATACCTATTTGTAATATACATTGTGCTTTGGTCTAGGTGGGCGTGGTGGAGTATTCTTGCTGGCTGGGAAGCACATCAACATCTGACCTGAGAGAAAAGGAAGAAGGAAAAGGCGAAAAGCCAAGGTGCGTCGGGGAGGTCGAAAGTGAAACCCAAAATCAAGGGAGTCGGTGGGATGGAACAAATGGAATCCGGGATATTGTGCTCATGGTTTGAAGCGTTACTTGTTACTTAATCTATCGTCACATTCAGGGACGATGTGATGGACTGTGATTAAGGAGTTTAGCTAGTGACAGTAATGATATTACTATCTTGATAATGTACTTGTGAAAGGATGTTGAATCCGTTTTTCTTCATGACACGCGTGTTGCACAGTTTAAGGGAAGGAAGTTGACCGTAGTGGGAGCCTGACAGACAAGCCAATGCCATGTTGTGACAGCGTGTCGATTCCCATACTTCGGAATAGCAAACGGCCACGATGTCTTCCGTGTATGACCCACTATTCGTTTGATTCCATGATATTCCACTAAGTCTCATTATCACCCCCGAGCCCATACCCTCACCCTACACAGTGCTGTCTATAGACCACCTCAAACAGTCTGAGTACCATATCCCTTAATCCGCTCAGCAAAAGCCCAGCTCTGCTTCTCCAGCTGCTCATCCTCCTTCAGCTCGACGCCATCCTTCGTCACAACCGCAATGCTGTACCGATCCAAGCTCCTTGCGTCGCGATAATACAGCACCTTCATGCACTCCTTGATAACCTCAACGGCTTGCTCGCGCGTCAACTTGGCCGCATCCTCCTCCGTCTCCGCATACCGACGCATGATGGGCTGCGCCAGCGCGCTTCCGAAACCCGTCGCCAGGGATGGAGAAGTGAAAGAAGTGCCGCGCAGGTCAACGCTGGCCAGGTAGGGCTTGGAGTGGCCGTCGAAACCGGCGATCAGAAGCTGGTTCCACAGCGGGTCGAAATCGTTGCGCCGCTTGTAGAGGAGTTTTTGCAGATACTTGTGCAGGTTGGCGGCGTTGAGGTGACCCTTGCCGTTGGGAGCAGCAGTGCAGGAGGGGTCCTCGTACGCTTCATCGATGGAGAGGTCCGTCAGGTGCCGGTCGAGGAATTGCATGTCGGATACGTCGCCGGAAAAGCCGACGACGGAGGAGTCGAGGAAGACGCGGAGGCGCTTGACGTCGGGGAAGCGGGCTAGGGAGCCGTAGGAGGCTGTTTTTCGAACAAGTCAGCAAGGCGTGATATGGGATGGGTGTCATTTGATTCATTTGAGTGGTGAGGTTCAGCATACCAAGGTTATCCGCGGCCATGACTACACCGTCCTTGTACTTCATTGCAATGACGGAGGTACCCGTCACGATGGGTGCTTGTGTCGCCTGCTTCGGGCCGTTGTTCTGGAGGTAGGAATGGTCATAGGCGCCGTAGACATCGTCTCTGGGCTGCAGGTGCCGTGAAGCGATATGTTAGTTCCATGCCTTTCATGTTGCGTAGAGATATGTATAAGCGCTGCTGCGACAGCGGGCGGAGGGGGTTGAGGACGTACACGACCCCAAGCTTGCGGGCGGTGATCCATGGTCAACTAGAGTTGGGAATCGAGAATGATTTAAATGCGGGGTATCGTTTCGTAAACAAGAGATGTCGACGAAATAGTAGAAGTCGGTCGCTGTTCGTGAATGTTTCGCGCTCGCTGAGAAAGTGTCAACGTTGGTTGTTGAATATGGGCAAGATAGAGGTAGGTATCGATAGAATGGTTCGTTTCGTTTGGGATGATGGTGTTGACGTGGGGAGCTTCCGCCTGGTTGGCTTGACGTTACGGCTCGAGGAGCTGGCAGTGGCAGGCTGCGCCATCCAGTGAGCTCCATCCCCTGCCCTGCAGCTTCGCGTCCAGGTGCTGCCTTCACTCCCGTCCCGCTGTCCACTGTTGGGCTTGGCTTGGCGTCACTGCCTCCAGTCCGCTTCCATGCAAACAGTGGAGTCTTGGCTCAGAGGGTAGTGTACATAGTGTAGAGGCAGGCGTGGGTCCGAGCGTCTTGAATGTTTTGAACTTGGGTCCAGGCTTGGCCTTGAGCCTCCTATCAGCACGTGACACCCTTCATCTCGAACCTAATAACCACTCCCTGTACTCATCAAAAACGGCGCCCTTTTGATTCCTAGAGCTTCTTACATCCATTGATCTCGATTCTCCATGTTAATATTAAATCAAGCGCAATAATGGGGCTTGTAGCGTACGACAGCAGTGACGAGGATGAGGATGTCCAAGTTGACACCCCGACTGTGGTAAGAAATATGGATAGCTCTTAGCATACAAATCATGTGTTGTTCACCAGCTGACAAGGTTTCATAGCCACATAACACCAAGAACGACATATCTTCACATGCATCACAAAGCAATGCCGGTACGACCCCTCATGCTCAAGTCAATTTTGGCGTTATAAGCCCGACAACTAAATGAGATGTCCCTTCGCCAGTCGCGGACCCATCCACAGTAACAAGATCATCACCAACGAGTACAAGTGGTCACAACGAGATATCAGCGCCACAGCAACGACAACCACAACCAGCCCCCTCGCCATCAACACCCGTAGGCCCTGTACTCGGTCCAGCCCTCGGCCCCTCAATGCCCCCTCCCACGGAAGTCGCCTCATCCAACACCCTCCTCCCCGAGCCCGACTCCGACATCGACATGTCCTTCCTCAACGACCCTTCCACTTCCTCCACCGCCTTAGCATCTGGACCTTCAGCAGAACCTCCCAAATCCCCTTACACCACAACCCGTACCTTGCTTCGGGACCTCACCCTCCCCGCCCTTCCAAACATGGACATCCCGGCCTCCCCTCCCCTCTCACCTTCTGATATCTCTTCGGTGGAACGGCTATCCGCTCTAACCAGCAAATTCGACAAGTTCCTGGAACTGAAGCGCAACAAAGGACAGCATTTCAACTCGCGCATCGCACAGAGCGCTGCTACAAAGAATCCGGGATTGATGGATAAGTTGATGAGGTTCGTGGGGGTTGAGACGGAGGTTTGGTTTGATGATGATGACGATGATGATCACGACGGGAACCTCAAACCCCTTGAGAGGGACGTCTCCTTGGATGGCAATGGCACAGAAGTAGCAGCGCCCGCGCCGGCTGGGGCAGAGCAATACGCCACCACCTTGTCCAAGGAGGTTTGGGATCCGACTGCGATGCCGGGGTGGGCGTACAGAGATCGGCTGCGTAAGACGCAGGAGAGGATGCAGAAGGAGAGCGAGAGGAAGAAAGGGGAGAGAGTGGAGTTTGTTAGTGGAGGATCCACGACGATGACGGGTAGTGGAACAGTGAGTAGGACGGGGAGCGCGACGCCGCTGGGGAGTGTGGCCTATCCTGGGGGGATGAGCGGCGGGACGGGAACGAAGATGGGGACCCCGAGTGCTGGTGCTGGTGCTGTTACGATGGCTGGGGTGAAGAGGAAGTCGAGGTTTGATACGTGATGGGGAGGGGGGGCTACGGATTCCTAATATGTTTTCGTTGTGCTCGCGTGGATGGTTCGAGGTGGCTAGGGGATCTAAATCGGAATAAGAGTATATGGCGGTCCACTTCGTTGATAGCGACGGACCGATCATACATCATGTTGAAACAGTCATGTTAACTCCTGATACCTTTTCTCACGCCCGGTCCTCGTCGTCATAGAAGAGCGGGTTAGTTCGCCTTCGTACAAATTTATATGCATCGACCTACCACCGTGCTGTTGTAACGGCTTTGTCAACATGGACAATTCTTGACTCTCGAGGTATTGGTATGAAGACTTGCCAATGAATGTCTTCATTGACTTCTTCATAGGACGTTGCAAAACAGGGCGATTTGGAAACAATACCGATGGCAATTCAGAGACACGACACAAAGACCATAAACTTGGTGTGATGATGGTGAAGACACAACGGAGAGGAGTTTTAATGTTCGTTTATGCGATTGCAACCCCATGTGTTTTCATAGTAGACTTGATGCCATCCGAGAGCTGGATTGCAAAAACCGAAGCTCGTGCGTTTGATATCGGACAACCTCGAACGCTATGTTTATGTATTCAACTGAAAAGTTCGCAAAGCCATTCTCAACCACAAGTACATAATTGAGTTTCGCAAGATGGATGGTATCTTTCAATTATTTGTCTACTTTCGATCCTGTCATGGCAACGCAGGAAGCCGGTGAACACTCTTACACATTTTAAATTCATAAATGCGTTCCAACTTGTTGTTTTCTGCATTCCTCATCTCGACAGAAGCTCTTCAATCCAGTTTTTGTCCAATCTCGACCATATCTCATCATCCCTCGCCCTGTGCAGTCCCATGGTATCTTTAAACACATAAGCATTAAACATAAATGACCCCCTATTTATCGAAAGCAAAGCAGAAATGAAGTGGCGGCGTGAGCCTGTACACATTGTAGGCACAATGCAGCGTGCCAAGAAAAGTGAATCGGATCGCTCAAGTGCGTAATATGCCACTAGGCAACGTTTCCGCGTAACCTCGCAATCCATGGGTATTCGAATATCAAAACACGTATCGACAGTACGGATGGTTTACTCGTCGGAGCAACCGAGCGTAAAACCCATCGAGCGCTTGACAGTGCCACGAATGTCGATCTGGACGGTCTGATTTCCGGAAGCCAAGGCATCAGCGAAATAGGAGAGGCTTTCGCCATGGTTGATGACGCTCTTGCCGCGAAGCTTAAAGGGAAGGACGCCGTTGAGCTTGTCGCAATAAGGCTTCTGCACAGCAAGGCCAGTGACGTAGCCGAGGTCGTCAATGGTGGCGCGCATAGGATAAACGTTGTCGTTGCCGGGCTTGAGTGAGAGGTTGTCGAGATAGACAGTGCCGATTTCCTTGTCAAGGAGGTAGTTGTGGAAGGTAGTATTGCCCTATAAAGCGACAGGTCAGCATATTAGTGCCGAGTGGAAGAAGTGGAAGAGTTGAACTTACAAGCTCGAAAGCAACCTTGGAGTAGTTGGGGATTCTGACGGTACCGAAGAAGTTGTTCTGGCCCTTGGGAGCAGTGGCGTTGACGGTGGTGTTGGTTACAGTGGTTCCGTCAAGCATACGGAGGCCTATTGTTTCTGTTAGTAACGATGTCCGCCAAGCATCAACATCACAAACAAGTGCTTACCGGGCATTTCAATGGTCTTCTTGAACGTGACGCCATAGGCTCTGGCGATACCCTTGACGTGCACCTTGGTGTCACCCTCGACGGTAACCCTGAAAGTCTCGTTGTGCAGAAGCCAGGTGTTGAAGGTGGTGAAAGCATCCAGATCATCGATCATGGTAAACTGGGTGATGTTGATAATCTGGGACTTGGCGCTGGTGGTCTCAGGGAAGTGAACCTTGGCGAAAGGCTGGTGCTCCGGCAGATCCTCAAGGTACATGACGCCCTCGAAAGGCTCAATGGTGGCCTTGACCTTTCCGTCACTCTTGATCTCAGTGTTGATAGACATGGTGAAGTTTTGAGCCCGGGAATTGGTCATGACGATGCTGTCAAGGATGAGCTCGGCATGGTCCAGCTTCTGTTGAGCGATCTTGGGAACGCCAACAAGGATACTGTGGTATGACTGTTAGCAACAAAACACATCTTAATCAATAAGGTCAGGTGAGTTATGGTGACTTACACAACAGGGACAACAATGACAACGATGACAATGACGGCGATCAAGTAGGCCCACCAAAACTTCAAGCAGTGGCCGGCGCAGCCACGCTTGCGCGGCTTGTCGGCGACATTCTCCGTCTGAGTGTACTCGGGCTGTTTATCCTCGGGCTGTTTATCCATCTTGTAGAAGTTTCCTCTTTTTTTTTGTTGTTGTTGTTTCAGGTTTCGACTTTTGACATCAGTGTGAAGGTGAGGGCGTTAACCGATGAAGAACTCGAAGAGCTGGGGGCTATACGGTTGAGTGTGTGTGCGGATGGCGGACCCCTATTATCCCCTTTCCCAAATTTCGAAGCCAACCGTCCTGATCTGGTGTAGAAGAACAATCCCTTGGTTGAAGAGAAGCAACAATCAGGAGGAAGGAGAAAAGAACGGCGGAAATTTTAACGAGGGAAACGAGAAAAGGAGAGCAGGAGCCAGACAGAAAACGGGAGGTCGAGACGGGCAACAGGCTGGGTGGTTTATTATAATCAAGTCCCATCGGTGATACCAGGCCACAGTCTACAATCCACACAAAATCTGCGAAAAGACTTGCAGTGACTTACGAGCTGGGGGGGAGGGTAACATTGGGGAGGCACTAGGGAGGAGCGGGTAGGAGCGACTCAACACAAAGGGAAGTAGATGTGACGGTTGCAAGGATTCCACAATTCCCTTCCACTCTTCCCCAAAAATGGAGCTGCTTGGCTCGCTTGAGCCATCTGTTTGCAGAAACCGACGAGACATGGCAGAGGGAAAAAGAAGCCAAAAAAGCTCGCTGCTAGTGTTACTCAAGCTGTCTCTACTGTCTGAGGATCGCCGAATCCCCCAACCCCCCCTCAAGGACCACATCGCGCCACCCCAACAAAGAGATTGACGAAGGCATCCTCGACTTCTCCGTGTGCCGAATTGTGAGCCATGCAACCATGAATGGAGATGGAACTAGCCTCATCGAGTAGTATCTCCGAACCCCCCCCCCAGCGATCATAACTGGAGTTATGCCAAGGCGAGCTCGTCCCCCCCCCAGGTGAAAGACCCTAACCCTTTTACGCGCTTTGCGTAGTCTGACCAGTATAAGTCTGGTTACTGTGTACACTTTAGTTCTTTGGCTCTCTCGACAGCTCGTACACTGTACATAGTGTTCTTATGAAAAGTACCGGTAGTTGGGGACGGCGTGGCTTGCTTTCCCGTTGGCTCTTTGTCCGCCACCATCGGTCAAACCCATGACTTCGAAAACATGTGAGCACATGAGCACTTGATAAAAGTCTCGCCAGTACACAATGTTGCTGTTTTTTCATTGACTTTATCTACCCCGTGTTCTGGATGCCTGCTTGAATGAACCCTTTCGGACCCGTGTTAGAGATCATATGCCAAGGAGGGCAAGCAGGCCGAGCATCTCATTTCGCAATTTCCCCCAGATCGTCAATTCTTTACCCAACTTGCCTCCCGGTTTCATCTCCGTCCTCCAGACACGGCGCCGGTTAGCCTAGCCCGATGCGAATGCGGGGAATATGGATGTGGGTGGAGGAAGGCGTAGAGGAAGAACACCCTCTCTTGCTGCTATGGTGCCTTGTCCGAATGGGGTTTCGATCCTCACTTGCCTTGCCTTGTCGCTTGCAAAAGTCGCCGTCAACCTGGCGAACTGGCAAGCTGGCTCACTGTGAAGGCGGAGACTTGCGCTGGTGCTTTGCCGCGGGGAGGCACTCCAACATGAAGACTTTTGGAGCTCAACTGAAGCGGTGATTTCTGCGTCATTCCCTTGACCACAGGGCATATTTTGACCAAACGCTCGCGAGACGGACTTCAGTCTCGGCTTCGTCGAGGGATGCGGCATACCGGAGCGTTGGTGCTCATTGCGACTTTACAATCATGCGATGATGAATGCCCGAAGCGGGGACTGGACACAGCCTGTCGTTACCTGCGAGGTTCGATTATAGGCAATCGTTTTTGTTTGCGATTCATATTGCTAACATCAGCGATTGTCTGTAGTAGACGTCTGAGTCCGAAAAATTTCGCGAGCGTGTGCGACTGAGAGAGAGCCGATTTGTTACGAAAAGACGAGGGATATCAACTGATGCCAAACAAGGTTAGAATAAGCTCCAAGCTTACGATCGTTAGAGATTTCCATTCGGAATGACTGCCAGAAGAGGATCGGGTCAACTAAACTTTTGCCCCGCCAAGCCCGCAGACCCTGGGGTAGTGCCAGGGGTCGAAGTGCTTTGGTCCGGGTGTGTCCAATTATCGGTCACGCCTTCGGCTCCTCTTGCAACGATTATGGAGCATATGAAAATTGGGGCCTCTCTTACTGTTCCACCAGTTTTCGGGACGACAACCCCGGATACCAAAACATCGAACACGGGCACAGAAAAGGCGACGAAAAACATCCAAACGTCGAGAACGGAAACCGCAAAATCCCAACCGCCACAAGGGCGATTTCTGCCCTACGAATGACTCGGAGACCAAAAGTCAATCTCCAAACTACTTGCCTGATGGCCATGAGCGATTCTTATATGCAAAAACGGTTGAAGCCAAGTTGATCCTGATCGATGATTCGGTCTGCAACCAACACACATTACTACATATGCGACTTGGCACCTCTGCATTGCGGCTAGCCAAACACGTTTGTGCTTACACTACTGCTTCAACGATGGTGGTAAACTTGGAGACCAATCCAGCCTTTTTGGAGACAACCAAACACTTGTCAATGGTCCAAACCAAAGTTTCGAGGTCTGATATTGGTGGAGCTATGCCCAATTGGTTGACTTATATGACTTCTGGATGCGGATTGGCTCACGACGAAATGACAGGATAGCCGGTCTTTTGAAATGTTCCCAACGGATGGTTCCGGGCCTCCATCGGCACCTGTGTCAGATCTCTGGAAGGAACGACAACGAGAATCTCAATGGGCGATATAGAATTGAACGACGCCTTTGCCCGCCACACGAACTTCTCATTTTCGGGCCTAACGCAAGACCGGCAATTCGAGACCAACAACAACAACAACAGGTGACCCGGCACTGGACTTCCTTATTAGTTTACGAGGGCCTGTCCGTAGGCGCGGCTGTTGTGCAGGGCCTCCCTGATCATGGAATTTGACTTGCTGAATGTACTGCGTGGTCTTTCGGCCCTTTGTGGCTGTCCCACCTTCCCGATCTAAATGGGAATTTTTGTCGACGGCCAACCAGATCTCGAAACCCCTGTGGCACCTCGCGGCTGTCCTTGCCCTCAACTGTCGCTCCAGGCCACTTAACCAGGAAAGACAGCAGCACTAAATATCAAAGATGTCTACCTAGTACTAAAAGGGGGCCTATGAATACCGAATCGCACGGTCAGTCAAATCAAGAAATGAACAATCGACGACGAACGAAGTCGACTTCTTGATTCTTGGCTACAACCAGCCTAGGAAAAAGTTCTCTCTGGACCCCTTGGTTCCTCAAGGAAGCAACTTCCGTTACACCACTTTGATGGTATCAGTTCTGGGCTGGGGGTCGGAAAGCCAAGCGCCATGTCAGTTGACTTGTTTGCGCAACGACCGTGACGTGAGAGTTGAATCTTTGGTCTTCACAATATCACCGCAAGGCACGGCCAGTCGCGTTCAGCAGGTCAGATCGCTGCTTCACTTTTCAATCAGTATGACGGCTAACCCCATCTTGATGATGACCCAAAGCAGCTTTACGTTTTCCTGCACAGATGATGTGCATCAACACAGTCCATAAGCCACCGGTTCTTATCATGCAGCTGCCATTCGTACTTTGCCTGCCCCTGACTAGTGGCTCAAGCTCCAACTCCTCAAGATAGGGTATATCAACAAAAAAAAAACTAAACTGATCAAAGATTTGCATAAATAGCATTGAGAAAACGACCCTTCATACACATGGGATATTTTGGGATTTTTTTCACGACCATCTTCGAGACACCCAGAACGGTTCAAGTCTGACCATCCCAGAATTGCAACCTTCTGGTACATTGAGGGCACACCCCTTGCCACCACCCCTGATCTTGACGTCCAGCGGATGGACGGGCAGGACGGGATACTCGGAAGCTATGACCAAGTCGGTCAGTTTCGCCGAGATATGATGCACTGTCAAATTGCCTCACCAGCTTTTCCTCTTGGATACGGGCACATGAGATCGGGAAGAATGGCATCCTACAGTGAAGATCCCTGCTTTTGCAACCCCCTCCTTTTACAAAATCCCCCCTTTTACAAAAGATTTCGACTGCCTGCATTCCCTCTGGTGGTAATTCCTGCAACCTGCAATTTGCAACGCTAACAGCCCGGATTTGCAAAAGCAGGGGTCGAATTTGGTGGGGCGGGCACTCTTATACCCGTATACCGGGGTCTAATAGCTCCAGGGGATCCACTTTCTAGTACCTCTAACCATTACTGAGTAGCTAGAAGACTCTTACCTGGTCTGTGCTCCTGTCCTCCCTTTTGCAAACCCCCCTCTTTTGCAAAAAATCTGGGCTGCCGGCATTAGTTGCAAAAGCAGGGGTTCTTACTGTATCAGACGAACTAAACTGTTGTGATTGTGGCTTTGAGGCTGCGACAACGCAACACTGACATTGCCATGTCATCTCCGTAACAGTCGCTCCTTGGAATGCGAAGGTTGCACCATCACCGCTAGCGAATGTTTGATAAACTGATGGTTGTCACAAATTCAACTTTGAGACATTCACGGGAAAGTTTGCACACAACTCTCTCACGATTCTCGTGCCCTTGGTGGTGGATGGGCAAATACCCACAAAGAGCACCGTTGATCTTGAAACATGAGTACCTGCGTGCCTGGATACAGGATTTCGAGGCCAAGTTCTCTAAGCGAAGCAGATCTACTCGAGCTAATCCAAACTTAAGCTGTCGTCTCTGTAGCCAAAATACAAGGACGAATAGTGTACAAAAAGACCGGCAACCATGCTTCGTTTGGTCGTTAGATATTACCATTGTTCATATCTCCCTTGAACGGGATAGCCATATTTTGTTTATCAAAGCCCGAAAGATCATCAGCGTGACCATTTCAGGGATTCGAATCACCAGCTTCACAAACGTTACTGTGCAATGGCTCTCCGCATCTCCACCTCGGGAATCCCCACAACCATACACAAGGTAGAGCCACCAGGCAGCGGACACAAAGTCCGCAACTCCAATGGTT